CTTCCTTCCTTCCTTCCTTCCTTCTTTCCTTCCTTCCACATCAACCAACCTTCCTTCCTTCCTAAAATCAATACCAAATCATCAGCAAATGCTTGTAATTTATATGTTTCGCCTTTTGTTTCTAGTCCTTTAATTTCTATATCTTGTCTAATATTTCTGTTTAAAACTTCCAGAGTGAAAATAAATAACAATGGAGATAATGGACATCCTTGCCTTGTGCCTTTTCTTATCTCAAAGTTGTCAGCATAGTCTCCATTCACAATCACTTTCGCTGTTTGTTTTTTATATATTGTTTTTATCATGTTTATCAAGTTCTGTCCAAAGTCCATTATTTGTAATTGCTGAATCATAAATTGCCAGGAAACATTATCAAATGTCTTTTGGGCATCTAGAAATATTAGTGCCAGTTGTTTCCCTGGATGTAATTCATAATATTCTAATATGCCCATTATCACTCTTAAATTATTTTTAATTTGTATCTTTGGCAAAAAAAACATTTTGGTCTGAATGTATAAATTCAGTTAAGAATCTTTTCAGTCTCTTTGCCATTATTGAAGTAAAAATTTTATAATCCACATTCAGTAACATATAAGGAAAGGCTGCTGGAATTGGGGATGTCTAGTTTAATGAAGAGAAGGACGAGGGGGGACATGATAGCAGTCTTCCAGTCTCTCAGGGGCTGCCCCAAAGAAGAGGGAGTCAAGCTATTCTCCAAGGCGCCTGAAGGCAGGACAAGAAGCAACGGATGGAAACTCATCAAGGAGAGAACCTGGAACTAAGGAGAAACTTCCTGACAGTTAGAACAATTAACCAGTGGAACAACCTGCCTCCAGAAGCGGTGAATGCTCCAACACTGGAAGTTTTTAAGAAGAGACTGGACAGCCATTTGTCCGGAATGGTCTAGGGTTTCCTGCCTGAGCAGGGGGTTGGACTAGACCAGGGGTAGGCAACCTTGGCTCTTTTATGACTCGTGGACTTCCAACTCCCAGAATTCCTGAGCCAGCATGGGGGAACTATGGCCCCCTCATGACCCGTGGACTTCAACTCCCAGAATTCCTGAGCCATCATGGGGGAACTTTGGCCCCTTCATGACTCGTGGACTTCAACTCCCAGAATTCCTGAGCCATCATGGGGGAACTGTGGCCCCCTCATGACTCGTGGACTTCAACTCCCAGAATTCCTGAGCCAGCATGAGGGAAACTTTGGCCCCCTCATGACTCGTGGACTTCAACTCCCAGAATTCCTGAGCCGGCATGGCTCAGCTTGGAAACCTCTCCCTTTCCCCTCAGCATGGCTGACTCAGGAATTCTGGGAGTTGAAGTCCATGAGTCATAAAAGAGCCGAGGTTGCCTACCCCTGGACTAGACCTTCAAGGTTCCTTCCAACTTTACTACTACTACTACTACTACTACTACTACTACTACTACTACTACTACTACTACTACTACTATTATTATTATTATCTATATTTTTTTATCTGTGTCAAATCTGAGTCTTCTTTTGGTATTAAGGTAATATTTGTTTCTATCCATATATTTGGGAGTTTAGCCTCCAACAAAAGTTCATTACAAACATCTTTCAGTGGTTCACTTTATATAACTTTATATAACTCAGCCGATAGTCCATCTGGCCCCGATGTTTTCTCATTTTTTTTGTCTCCTTATGGCCTCTGTTATTTCCATCATTGTTATTTTTTCCTCTAACATCCTCTTACAGGTTTCTGAATTTTTTTGGAAGGTGCCGGCTTGTTCGGCCCAGGGTGGGGCTTCTTCTTTGTTCACCTGCACGATCCGCCCTGGCCCCAGGTGGATCGGGCCCCCGTCCCCTTCCCGCCTGACCTCTCTTGTCTCCCGCAGGTGCTCAGCAACGCCCGGCTCTTCCTGGAGAACCTCATCAAGTAAGTGCCGGGCCCCCTCCCTCCCGGCGTGGCTGCTGCCCTCCGGCCATGCCGGGGAGGCCGCCCCTTGGCCCGGCCGGCCTGACCTCTGCCCCTCGCCCGGGAGGGAGGGGGTCAGGAGGGGACCACCGCCCGAAGCTCCCCTCCAGGTGGCAACAGGGGAGCCCCTTTGCAAGAGATCGCCCTGGGGGTGCCAAGCCAGCTCAGGTATGGCACAGGACTCATCAGAGCCACCTTCCCCCCCACTGCTGAGCCCGGGGGGGGGAGGTTGCTTTTAGTTGTCACCGGAGGGGGGCTGCAGGGGGGGGCCTGGCTGGGTCGCTGTAGCCCCTGTACCAAAGGGGCTTTTAAAGAACAGGCCACTGCAAGGACCTCGATCCTTCCATTCCCCACCATTCAGTCAGAACTGAAGAAGCTTCTTGCAGGAGAAGCGAAACGTTTTCAAGGGGAAAAAACCCCCAGAAAGTCCTTTGGAAAAAGCCCCTTTGGGAGCCCACCACAGCCCGCATGACAGAGAATCTCCACAGTCATCCAGCCACTGTAGATAGGAGTGAAGCTACTGGAGAAGATAAGTCACAGGGGTAGGCAACCTGGGTTCTTTTATGACTCATGGACTTCAACTCCCAGAATTCCTGAGCCAGCCATGCTGAAGGAAAAGGGAGAGGTTTCCAAGCTGAGCCATGCTGGCTGAGGAATTCTGGGAGTTGAAGTCCACGAGTCATGAAGGGGCCATAGTTCCCCCATGCTGGCTCAGGAATTCTGGGAGTTGAGGTCCACCAGTCATAAAAGAGTCAAGGTGGCTTACCCTTGAGATAAGAGAACCTTTATTGTTATTTTTTGCTGTGAGCACGCTGGCCCACATTACAAATGGAATTCTATCCATGGACATATATAACACACACATACACATGCTATGTACATGCATATATATACCTACACACACACACTCCAGAAGTGGTGAATGCTCCAACACTGGAAGTTTTTAAGAAGAGACTGGACGGCCATTTGCCTGAAATGGTATAGGGTTTCCTGCCTGAGCAGCGGGTTGGACTAGATGACCTCCAAGGTCCCTTCCAACTTTTTTATTTATTTATTTTTTTTTATTATTATTATTATTATTATTATTATTATTATTATTATTATTATTATTATTATTATTATTATTATTACATAAATATTAATCACTGTCCATTTTGAATACATAGCAGAAAGAGGAAAGTGGAGAGTTCCCAAGGTTGATGCTCTATGGCAGGGGTCCCCACCCTTGGCAACTTTAAGACCTGTGGACTTCAACTCCCAGAATTCCCCAGCCAGCATGCGCTGGCTGGGGAATTCTGGGAGTTGAAGTCCACAGGTCTTAAAAGTAGCCAAGGGTGGGGACCCCTGCTCTATGGAACAAAACGGTGACTGAATGGAGTAGGAAAGGGGGTGTCCACCCCTCCACCTCCCTCCCCCAGGTTCTGGTCCTCTTGCACCCCTATGCCAGGGTACCAGGCTATACCAGGGTACCACGGAAACAGCCGGGCGTCTTTCTAGTTCTGCCAGATTGGCAAGGCTGGTGCTGCCACCCTGTGGCTCCCCACGGCTCTGCATGCCCTCAGTCTCCTGCAGAGGCAGCCCCTTGTAAGGGTCCGGGGGAGTGGGGGGGGGGCTTGGGCTCTGACGCAGGAGGGCGCCATTTTTAAGTCTGTCCTGAAAGACGCCTTCCAGGGACAGCCACACTCCTGCAGGTGGACCACCACCCTGGGCCCAGAACTGGAGCTACCAATGTCCCTTGGAGAAGCAGGCCACATTGGTGTCCCCCAAAACTGCCCACTAGCCCCACTTCCCAGCTAGGCCTCCTCTCCTGCCTTCCAAGTGGAGACTCAGCCGGCTGAGGAATTCTGGGAGTTGAAGTCCACAAGTCTTAAAGGGGCCAATGTCGGTTTAGAGGCTGATCTGCTTCAGAGCCTCCACTGTGGCCTTTGGTGACCTCAAAGGTAATAATAATAATAATAATAATAATAATAATAATAATAATAATAATAATAATAAAGTTGGAAGGGACCTTGGAGGTCATCTAGTCCAACCCCCTGCTCAGGCAGGAAACCCTATACCATTTCGGACAAATGGCTGTCCAGTCTCTTCTTAAAAACTTCCAGTGTTGGAGCATTCACCGTTTCTGGAGGCAGGTTGTTCCGCTGGTTAATTGTTCTGACTGTCAGGAAATTTCTCCTTAGTTCTAGGTTGCTTCTCTCCTTGATTAGTTTCCATCTGTTGCTTCTTGTCCTGCCTTCAGGTGCTTTAGAGAATAGCTTGACTCCCTCTTCTTTGGGGCAGCCCCTGAGATATTGGAAGACTGCTATCATGTCCCCCCTCGTCCTTCTCTTTGTTAAACTAGACAGACCCAATTCCAGGTTTCCCTCTCCACTCCAGCCTGGGGTCTCCTGCAGCTACAGTGCTGCATGCACATAAAATACTTCTCTGCAGCTCCCTTCCCCTCCAGTGGGCACTTTCACAAAAGGGAGAAATTTGTGCAGTGCTTGGTGTGCATGCACCCCTCCAATGCAAAATGCAGCCTTGTGCATGAGGCAAAGCATGGTTAGACCATTTCTCTACTGGGGGGTGGGAGGCAGGCCTCTCCCTTCCCCTTGCTTAAGAATCCTGGAATCCTCTGGGAAAGATTTGGGGGGGAGGGGCGCAGTGTTCAAACTACAGAGGACTAACATTGATGATGTTACCTAGTTTAGGTAATGAAATCTCTGCAAGAAAACAAGCAAGCTCAGACAGCCCCAAGGACCCCTTAAACTGCAGAAATCTGGGCTGCCCACAGATCACACTTTGCTGGGGGGGGAGAGGGGGGCTGACAGGCTGCCACATCTCACAACAGGCTGCCCCTCCTTCCCCCACCCCCCCCACCCCAGTTGGCCTGCAGCCAACAAGGTTCTTTACTTTTCAGGTACGGCATCCTTGTGGACCCCATCCAGGTCATCTCCTTGTTTCTGAAGGATCCCTACAGCTGGCCAGCTCCGTGCCTTGTTATTGGTGAGACCAGCTTTGCCTCCCCCCTTTTCTGCCCTTCCTTCGGGGGAGGGAACGGGGTAGGTGGGGGTCCTACTGCCTCTGTATCCCTTGAACCCCTGAAATTTTGCTGAGGGGGGGTGGAGGTCCAGGTCAGGACACCCCGGCACGACACGGGGAAGGCTAAGGGTGTGTTCCGGCAGAAAGGGGGTTTGCACAGGTTTCGTGGAAGCCTGAGGCCTTTGGGGGGGTGGGGGGCACATTCGGGGCTGGCTTGTGGGTGACCAAGACCCCCATCTTTGTGCTTTCCTTTCCAGGGGCCAACGGCTTCGCGCTGGTCGCTCTGCACCTGGAGAAGAAGCTGGCGGCGGTGAGCGGGGGGCGCCATCCCTTGGCTTTTATTCCTTTTCCTTTATTTATTTGCAGATCAATTAACTCGGTTAACTGTTGTCACTGGGCAAGGATCAGGGGCTTATTGCTTTCTAGTGTTTTATGTTAGGTTTTTATCTTTTTAAGCCACCTTATAATAATAATAATAATAATGATAAAGTTGGAAGGGACCTTGGAGGTCATCTAGTCCAACCCCCTGCTCAGGCAGGAAACCCTATACCATTTCAGACAAATGGCTGTCCAGTCTCTTCTTAAAAACTTCCAGTGTTGGAGCATTCACCGCTTCTGGAGGCAGGTAGTTCCACTGGTTAATTGTCCTCACTGTCAGGAAGTTTCTCCTTAGTTCTACATTGCTTCTCTCGATTAGTTTCCACCCGTTGCTTCCTGTCCTGCCTTCAGGGGCTTTGGAGAATAGCTTGACTCCCTCTTCTTTGGGGCAGCCCCTGAGATACTGGAAGACTGCTATCCTGTCCCCCCTCGTCTGAGGATGGCTTGGGCAGCCCTATAAATTTTCTTAATTACATCAATGTCAAATTTAGAGATTCCCACCTCACTCACACGAACAAGTTTTCTCCTGGAAATTTGGCATTCGGTGGTTTAAGCAGAGGCAGCCCTCAACTTACAGCGGTTCGCTTAGTGACGGTTCAAAGTCACCACGGCACTGAAAAAAATGACTCATGACCGTTTTTCACACTTAACGGCCGTTGCAACAGCCTCAAGGTCGCGCGATCAAAATTCGGACGCTTGGCAACCGACTCGTACTTTACGACGGTCGCCGTGTCCCGGAGTCNAGCTCTGACGGGATGGTGGGAAAGGATTTATATCCCTTCCTGGCCCTTTGCATTCTTTTAGAGAGTTGTTCATGCCACCTGGAGGCTTACCTGTGTCCTCAGGGTCACCTGAGTGGTGCAAATGGGTGTGGAGCCTTCCTGGAAGTGTTGAAAGGACTGTGTTGTAGAGTGGGAGGGATAGGACCTCATCTATCTCCAGTCTACCACACCGTCCTTTCAACAGTTCCAAGAAGGCTCCACACCCATTATCTGAGAACACAGACAAACCTCCAGGTGGCCTCAACGACTCTCTAAAGCAGGGGTAGTCAACCTTGGCTCTTTTATGACTCCTGGACTTCAATTCCCAGAATTCCTGAGCCAGCTTAGCTGGCTCAGGAATTCTGGGAGTTGAAGTCCAGGAGTCATAAAAGAGCCAAGGTTGACTACCCCTGCTCTAAAAGGAGGCAAATGACCAGCTGTCTGCAGGGAGTATAAATCCTTCCATTCCCCACCATCCGGTCAGAGCTGAAGAAGCTTCTGGGATGAGAAGCGAAACGTCTTCAGAGAAAAACAAGAGAGACCAGTTGCCTCCTGAAAAAGCATCTTTGGGACGCTCTTGAGCCAACTTCTCCCAGTCTGGCTGATGGGGGAGTCTGCCAATGCTGCCTCGGGACACCCCCCAGGTGGGCTGAGATGCAAACTTCTGGCCTGCTGCGTGTTACTCCTTCTCCTTGCTTCCTGGCCTTCCGGGGTCCCCCCATCCTAGGGGTAGGCAACCTTGGCCCTTTTATGACTGGTGGACTTCAACTCCCAGAATTCCTCAGCCAGCCATACTGACAGGGAAAGGGAGAGGTTTCCAAGCTGAGCCATGCTGGCTCAGGAATTCTGGGAGTTGAATCCACGAGTCATAAAAGAGCCAAGTTTGAAGACTCCTGTCTTAAATCTAACAAACAAAATGGAGGGTGGCTGAGGAATTCTGGGAGTTGAAGTCCACCAGTCATAAAAGAGCCCAGGTTCCCCACCCCTGGTCTAGGAGGC